AATACAAACAAGGTAAGTCCTCAGATTTGCTGTTCAATGTAATGTTCATTGAAGCCATGAAGGATTTATGATTCACCAAATTCTCATCCTTGTCAAATGATATGTTTCTGTATGTGGGATTACCTGACTGCTCATTTATTCCAAATTCCTTTACAAGACACTCCTAGTGGTACGATTTACAAACAAAGGCCAAACAATTTAGGCTTTGTCCGCAGGAGCAACAACATATATATAGTGATTGATAATGTGACTTATTGGGAATACATAATATTGTTGCGTCACTAAATTACAAATATAAACTGGAAAAAAGTAGTTTTCAATACCAAGAATGCCTTCTTTCTTATTCACATTTTCTTTAAAAACCCCGGACCGTTTGTTAAAAAAACTTGACGTTAAAATGTAGCTCTCGAAAAAACCCCGACAATGTAAAACTCTGAATTTTAAGTGAAATTCATAGAAATTGTGCGTAGTTTGTGCTTAAAATATATGTAGTATTCAGAATAAGATGAAAAGTCATGCATACACCTATCATATTTGCGAAACAGCATTAAATCGGTCTGTTCGCGTTTACTGATATCACTCGAAAAAAACCTGATCTACACTGGAAAAAAGAGGATTGATCCGAAACACACGATACACTATACCTACCGTGTTACACGACGTGATAAAATGAGTCACCTTAATTATACTAAAACAATAAACAAAAAGTAAATATGACAAAGAGAAACCAAAATAGATTACCATTTAGATTGATCACTTTAACTTACTAATATGTTTATCGTTGATATGCACTTTTAAAAATTATTTCAAATTACGATTTTGAAAAGTAGCTCACAAATAAATAATTAGCATAGTGTTGCTCATACAATAAAACTTACGGCACTCATTATTCAAAATGTCGATAGCTACACGTGGATAGATGGGCACTTAACGTACAGCGGCAACTATTCATAAAAAAACAGCCTGAACATAATGTTAATGTTATATGTTGATATGGTATGGATGTATTCAGATTTTACAAGACCAACTTGCTGAGTTGGACGTTAAAGTTTTACCTTTTAACATTATCCTGACTACAAGCTACTAATATTTGGTCTTACATTTTAATTAGGCATGTTTATCGGGTAAGCAATGAAAAAACAGATAACAACAATTTCCCACTTTCGAGCACAACGTTCATTACGACACCATTTATTCAGTATTCCTACGGTACCAATATTTAGAATCGAAATCAATGATAAAAGGCAATATATGATTGTCGTGCAATCGATGAAACATGAAACCAATACGTTAAAAAGTGCATGTGTCCGAAGCGCTTTTCTAAATTTACCTTTATGAGGAACGCCCAAAGTCGAATATTTGAAATCCAAGGATTTATAAAAACGAAATAGTTGATAAAAGGTTAAAGATGATCGTTTAAAACGTACGTTCAATGATTCTCTCTGCCGACATGAATGCAGATAGTAAGAAGTCGTCATGCAAAACAAAAAATCTGAGATCCAATTTGAGGGAATACACGTGTATTGAACCATTTTATTGCTTAACGAACAGTAAAAAATATTTACATTCTCAACACTACCACATTTTTCGGCTTACTGCGATTTGGTTAGTTTTTACTTTTACTCCTAAATGATGGGCGCTTTATCAAAAAAGTGACGTGTTTGCAAAAGTGTTGAACAAACACAATAGTGAAAATGAGTTAACTATCCAACCTAGAATTCATTTTTGTCCGTTTCGACTAATAAATTCGAAATTCTCTGTTATCTTTTAATTAATTGTGCAAAACCAAACAGTTCTGAATTATTTATCTGAAACGCTTTTCTTCTGTTAAATGCACGTTTGAAAATTGGTTTTTTTTTTCAATAAATGAAAAACCATAAAAAATTTTCCTTTTTTTTTTTGCGTTTCAAATGAACGTTCCTACTCAAGAATGATTATGATAAAGGTGTTTCTTATTTTAAAATGATTTTTACGCTTGTGAGAAATATTTAATTGTTATTAAATTTTTCTATGCTTAGATCCGTCTGCCTCTTGTTTTATTTTATACCTTAACTATTAAGGATGTACACCTCTGAGAAGCCACACATTTCTAGAATTAAACTTGTTTTTCTTAACCTGATTTTTGGGTTGATATAATTGTTAGAAAGAAATTAACGAAGAAAAATTCATAAGGTGGTGCACTTTTTCTTTTCTTTTTTTTTTTTTTTTTTTTTTTTTTGCTGCAGTCATTTGAAAGTACCTACTTTTAATGATTATCCCATTTTTTATTAATTTTTAGCCATCTTTGAGCTATTATGAAAAAAATCACAGTTTCACGATTAAACCTTTTTACACTTTCACTAAAGATAAAGTGGACCAATCTGAATAAATTTAACTTAAAAAAACTTTAAGTTAGTGTTAACATTTATTAGAAAGTTTGATAATATTTTGTTGCTTTTTCGTGCGAAATTTACCATGCTGTCAATTTTGAAAATTTAAGATTTTTCTCTTTTTAAGAACAAACAGTATATTATTTCAACTTCTTTCTTATAAATGAATGAAAAATTACATCTCTACGAAATTTAAAAAGAAAACATTGATATGGTATATACAAATTGTGATTAAATAAGTTCTTGCACCACTCACCCATTTTCTCAACATTTTGGCTGGGGAGACCCGATATACATGACTAGATTAGTTATAGAATTTGAAAACTGTATTACTCAAAACCAACTTATTGTAAATACAAATTTGTTCACAGAGTTTAGTCTGATTAAAATATTTTTAAAATTCATTGATATTTTCCACTTGCATCACATGTTTTGGAAATAATTCCAGAACGAGATTTTAACGAAACTGAAACATCAGAAGAATACATCCTTAAGTCAAATTTAATATTCTTTTCATTTCGTTTCGTTATATTTTGTTTCGTTCCGTTCTATTCCGTTTCGCACTTTACATGTACCCCATAACACGATAATGATACATATGCTCTCTTGTCGCCCGTTTTTTATTTTTAATTTCTTAATCAAAGTCCAAAGAATCAAATCTTCAAATAGCTAAATAATCAAAACCGAACTTTAAGTTCAGTATTTTTAGAGTGTGATTAAATATCTGAACTATCATTTGTATTATGAATTCTAGAATTTTAAAATTTTAATTATTTGGTGAAAATTTCAAAATTTCAAAAAAAAAGATAAAAATTCCAAAAAACTACAATTTGAAAACTTTTTAAAATTCTGAATTGATAAGATTTACACGGACCCCTTTTCATAGAATTGTATTGTTGAAGATTACAGAAATGTAGTTTGAAAAATTTGACTTATTCCAGATCTGTTTGAAAAAGTATACGCAATACATGTAGAAATATTAACTAAGAAATTAATAGAGTTGGTGCGTTTCTTTTGTTATTGAGGGCATATTAAATCTGATATATAACACCTTTCGTTAAGGTCATTATAATGTTTGTGTGGTATTCAATTTATTCTAAATGGTACTAAATTATAAATTAAATGTAATAGGAGCTTTCACTCATTTTTTTTATTGTAACTAAATAATACCATGGCTCTGGTCTAATATATTTTGAAATAATTCTTATATGATTTGCATATTAGAGAATACGTTGATATGACTGGTTGAGAGGACTTCCGGTAGTTGTTCTTGACGTTGTTTATTTTCCAATGTAAACAAGATGGCGGCGATAATGACACAATCTGGATCGACGTTAACACAATTTATTTTCAATTCGCGTTAATATGTCTTAATAGTTGAATTAAATAATAAACACAAAACATTCGTTTGAATGATAATAAAAGTTTTTGTAGTTTATTTTCTATCCGATTGCAAATTTCATGAAGTACATAGTTTTGCGTTAACCAACAATATATTCATGCGCCAGGCCTATTCAATGACACAAATATACAATTAACGTGTTGAAAAATAAAATCATTTTCTCCAATTTTAAAGAATTATAAGGATTAAACGCCTTTTTAAGGGAATTTATTGGTGTATAAACTGTACCAAGTCACTCACAAACATATCATAAAAGTCCTTTGGACTTTTATTTGTTTGTGATTGAATTGGTCGAGTTTATACAGCAATAAATTCCTTTAAAAAGGCGTTTAATCCTATAATAAAGATAAGAAAATGAAAATATGAAAAATAAATCATAAAAAAACCCACTGGATTCCAAACTGAGCCTTCACATTGACAAACACAAACATTTAGATCCCTACGTAGTGTTCACTGATGAACTAAATCAAAGGTGCAATAGGTTACAAAATGTATATGCAAAAAACAAAAAAAGGTTATCCTGTCATATTGATTATTGCAAAAACCATGTTTTCAAAACGGAAGTCGAAGAGATTAATTAGAGATTAAGAAGACAGTTATACTAAGTTCTTAAGATAAATGCAATACCAGATTATGTAAAACAAATGCAATGTTTTCATATATATAAGAAGAAGTGGTTTGTTCATAATCCAACATTCTATGACATGCGTACGAATACTTATTGCGGTTATACATCATATATTTTCTGTCGTCACATCTTCAAAAATATGCATAACAAATTCTTGTCGTATTGTTTCATTTACACATTATATACGTGAAGGAAAAAAAAGAATTTAGGTTGACGGCTATTTGTAAGGAATATACTTTAAAAGGATTAGTAGAACAGAAAGGGATTGGTTATTCTGAAGATTAAAATATTTCAAAAATGAAATTTGAAATGTGATATTTTAACTATACATTTGAGGTTCATAACTATATACAGATGTAAATTATATGCACGCCAATATTAGAAAACTGCGTTACGAAGATCAATATATAAATAAAATGTTACGAAATTTAACTTTTCTAAATGGTATACAAGTCATTAATAAAAGTGGTATAGTTTTAATTTTCTTAATGACATAACCATCAGTAAAATCCTTAACATTTACATGGATATGTCATCATTAAAACAAACTTTAAACCTTTCAACCGCAAATAAATGACTTGGTTTAAACAAAAATGTGAAACATCAAATGCGTTAGATCTCTTAAACTCTATGCATCAGATCCCTTCAAATTTAAAGAAGATATAGATATAGTGTATGTTCGTTTTGTGGCTAACAAAAGATGTAAGGAAATTACGTTTAAAATCTTGTACATATTGTAGGTATTTACGTATTCAGCCATTGCCTGTTTAATATACAATGTTTTTCGCAGAAGTGATAGTCCGTAACTCGGCGATTGCAGCTCTTGTTTACTTTCTTTCAATGGTTCTTCCTGAACGGAAAGTAGACACACCAGGAATTTATGAGAAACACGTCAATGAAATGTATGATTATATTGTTGGTAAGTGTTTAACTCAGTTATTTTCCCTCATGATAAGAATTATAAATAAGATAAATCCAATCGGTAATCCCCGGGTTAATTCGTTACTCTCGTGGCGGAACGGCATCGGCCGAGTTTTAGAAGAGTGAAAATAATTCATGTTTGCGTTCATAACAAAGGTACACGTTACTATTACACTGTGAAATTACTTTTATTCGTGGGTATCAAATTTGGAGATTTGAGTAGAAGTTACATGTGCGGGGTTCTTAAATTCGTAGATTTTAGTTTTCTGAAGAAGAAATAGATAGAAAACTTCAGAAAGGAAATACGTGAAATTTATCATATGTTGTTTTATAATGATGTGTGACATTGCAAAATAAGGTGTTCATTTTCACTTACTAGTTCGTCTTTCATTACAAACAACATTCATAATATTTTTAATAAAATAATTCGAAAATAAGCTGATTTATCTATGCTAACAAATTGTCTCGATTGAAGGAAAATGCAAAGTAAACATTTTAGTTGTTCAAACTTCCATATTTTATTTATATCATACTAAAACGTACAATACGTCAAAAGGAAACAATCAACAAAGCATGAACTTGATAGAATGAATCAACAATAATTGTTGGATCGTATTCTAAACAAGACGCCATCTTATAAACCAACGAGATGATCTCCGTAGAATGCCAAAAGTATATGACCCGATGTAAACATTAATAAAAACACGAATAAACAGGCAAGCACGTTCAAACGTATGATAACGACTTTTCTATGTTTGTTTAATCTCTTGTCACAGATTAAACAAAAAAAATGTTGTTTTTTTTTCTGTATTTGATTGGCTTTTTTTCTTGGTCGAATCAGTCAACGAAATGGATCGTTCGATGGTTCACTTGTTTCACGAATGACATTATTTTCTTTTTTTCAGCTAAACGTAATTAGAACATGCGCACACGATCTCTAGCTATAGTTTATATAGTTCAGGAATAGAATGTATTTCATCCACTAAAGATAAATTATCACACCAAACTAAACTATATTTATAGACTTTGCAAAAAGTCAGTAAAAATAATAGGTACTTCCAAATTCTGCTAATTTGCATTAGAGTAAATGGGCGAGCAAAAATATGACCGTATTTTGGAGAAGTAGGTTGTTGTCCCCTATCGGTAGGTTAAAAAAAACAGAATAAAATATTTGAAAAAAAAAATATTTCAAACAAGATATTATAACAAATTGCATCCTATCTCTTGTACGTGTGATATATTTAAATATGATGCATTTCTGTTAAGGTTTGTCTGGTGTTAGAAATTACCTTGTTGACAAAATGTTTAACATAGACACATTGTTGTAATAAAATTTAACAATTGAATACACATATCTTTAGAAGACAAGGATATATTGACAACAATTTGTCAAATATTGGCTGTTTTAAATGACAGCAACACAAAAGTATACATTATATTATTATATTACGCTGTTCCGACTTATAGAGATATAATCAAACATATATTCACTATAAATAAAAATACGCAAAAAATAGAGGTGTACTGTTCAGTAGATCTGCATGTCGATTGAAAGGGCCAGAGTAATAAACTATTGGTCATAACATATGATTTAATAATTGTCATTTTACAATAACCTTTTTCTTACTGCACCCCCCCCCCCCCCCCCCCCCCCTTTTCCTTCCGAAGCACGAGCACGGCGGGATTATGATTATAATATCCCGCAGTCAGCCCGTCTGTCCGTCTGTTCTTTTGTCCTGTTATTTATGATGTCCATTATAGTTTTCAAGACATTCCTCATTTCCTCATATATTCTTGTCAGGCATGGGCGAATTACATTGCAATGTAATGCATTATATTACAATTTCTTTGACAAAACCATGCATTAAATTACAATTACAATTACATTCATTTATCAAAGTAATGCATTACATTACAATTACTTTTGCAAAGTAATGCATTGAATTACACATTACATTTGTAAATTTTATTATTAAGTGAATAGAAAAATCAAACATTTTGAAAAACAACACGAAGTCACAAAAGATTCTAGCATATGCAGTAATTGTTCCATGCATTGAATTTAAGTATACATGTCAACAGACTATTTAATTCGGCTATTACATTTTTAATTATTTAAACTTAATGTTGACTTTACTTTTATAAATATATCTATTTTTTTTAATTGCAATAAAAATATTTAATTACTGAGAATTTTTTTCCTAATTATGTAATAAACATAGAGCTTAATTAATGAACAATTGTGCAAATAATGAAAATATTGATTGTAAAACAAACTTATTAGTGTTTTATAACAAACTTCAATAATCTTTTATTTAATCAACACAAGGTATTCTTTGATCTTATGACAACAATATAGTAATGCTTTTCAAATATCAATCTTTTTATGCAGGAAAATGTATGAAATAAAATGAAATAAAAAATATATTCAAATAGTTAATATGTTCTTAGTTAATCAAGCAATCTTAAATTCTGCTTTAGTTAAATCTCCAACAATATTTTAAAGATGTAGTATGTGAAAAAAGTAATGCCATGTAATGCATGAAATTACACAACTTTTTGCTAAAGTAATGCATTATATTACAATTACATGTAATGCAAAAATTGCTGCATTACTCATTACATGCAATTACTTGGAAAAATGTCATGCATTACCATGCATTACAATTACAAATTTGCATTATCCCATGCCTGTCCTGATTCTAGTAGATTATAACACTAACGTGTGATGCTGGCCTTTGTCCAAATGCAAAAGCAATAATATGAAAATTAATGTTATACTTCAAAAAAATGTAAAATGCTGTTTCAATGATTGATTGTACTCTTTAAGTGACATTTGTTTTTAGTTGATTTTTAGGCATTTAAGCGAAACCTATTTTTCTTTGTTAACTTTTTAAAGCTTGGGATTTCCGAAAGGGACTTTCCTTTTTTTTGCAATTGACTTTAGCTCATTCGAAAACTTAGATATACATACGTAATAAGTAATTACATATATAATATTTTTGATTATATTCTATAGTAGGAGCTGGTTCGGCTGGTAGTGTTGTTGCCACTCGATTATCGGAGGATTGTGAAACTTCCGTTCTTTTGTTAGAAGCTGGGAAATCGGATTTGGAACCTAACGACGTCACTCAGATACCATTTTTGTGGTTTTCCCTTATAGGTTCTGAGAAAGATTGGGGATATCGTTCAGTACCACAAAAATATTCCCATTTTGCTTACAAAAATGAGGTAAAATAAGTTTTCGATATGAATACGTTTCACATTTTTTAACATTAAGTTGTAAATATGGACTGGTCAGCGTTTTTAAAGTTTATCAACATTTTGCCACGAACTATATCAAATATAAAAAAATAACATTGTACTCGGGTTAAACGGTAGGAATAGTAAATCGAAACTAGTTAATGATAAAAAAAAAGTTAATCGAACATATTTCACAGTACAAAAGACCAATTAAAACCATTAATGGCAAGTCCTTTAAGTCCAGCAAATGGGATTGAAGGAAAAGTCGTAAACATGTGCTTGCTTCGCTTTGTAAATAATATTTCCATTAAAAACGTAAAAACGACAGTTTAGTCATTTCCAGCAAATTGTATCCAATTAATTCACCTATGTATGTTCAACTTATCAATGCCACAATCCGGTCCTCTTTCCTTCTATTCTGACATCACATAAAGTGACTTGGTATATATGTTTTTATTGTAATTGACAACACGACGGATGTAAATAGTGAAATACATGTGTTTACCCGCGGTTTTCGATATGGTTTGTGCTACCCAAGCTTTATGTTAATTTGCAGTATTTTATCAACTGTTGTTATGTTTTGACATTTGTTGTCTGTCTTTTTTTAAAGATAGTGACTGTCATCTTTCTATCTTTTCCTTTTAGAATTACTATATATAAGATAACGACCTGTTAAAACAGTACCCGTATTTTCACTGATCTACGATATATTACTTTCCACTTTTATTTGTGTTTTTGTTTTTATTTCGTTTGATATTGCTCGGGTTTTTCCCCCCTTTTTTTTTGTTTTGTTTTACATCTCCTTTCGTTTGATATTGTACACGGGCCAATCCGTTTCTCTGAAAGGAAATTGAATTCCCGCTTCATTTTTGATTCATTTCCTATTAAATAGATTGAAATTAACTGTTAATTAATTGTATTCATATAAGATATGCCGACATATATGAATAGACGAGTGTATGACACGCAAAATAGAGTAAAAACCACGAATGGGACATTTCAACTCATAAGTCGAAAATAAACTGACAATGCCTTGGCAAAAAATCATAAACAGACCAAAAAACAGTACACAACACATGACATAGAAAACTTAAACCTAAGCAATAGGAACTCACCAAAAAACACGGGGGGAAATTTTAGGTGCTCCGGAAAGGTAATCATATCCTCCTCTACATGTGGCAACCATCTTGTTGCTCATAAAAGTACAAACCCTATGATAACTCTTATTCGGTAGGTCACATTCAAGGAAAAGAGGATGGGGTTGTGGTTATGTGGATTAGAACATATCTATCGTCGTCTGTGAAACAGATATTCCATAACAATCAACGGTCACCTAATCGTTATTATTATGCATATATATAAGAATACTAAATGTTTGCACATCCGTATTATTTTCTATTGAGATAGAGAAGTTACATAGCACAAGGCAAAGTGCTTGGAGGATCATCGTCAATAAATTCAATAAACATACTAAGGGGCAGTCGTAGCAATTATGATCAATGGAAACAAGAAGGAGCAGTTGGATGGGGATATGATGATGTGCTGCCCTACTTCAGAAAGCTTGAAAATGCTACAGAGACATCGTACAAAGACTCAAGTAAGTAATACCTGTCAAATAATATTATAATATTATATTTAGCGAACCCCAGAACATACTCAAAACCACATAAAAGAAGGCACATAACCAATCGAAAAACCTTACAAAAACACATATGCTCTAACTTGTTTTATGCATGAAAGAACAATGCGCACAAAGAACTTAATCGGACTAATTGGTTTTTTTTTATAAATAACTCAAGTTAGATGTGCTATTTCAATGTTGTCTGTATTAACGTTAAGGATACAATAAGTCATATAAGTTGTCATGCTGTCAACAAAATAATTACAAGTGGTTTTGTAAGATTTTAAGAATTTCGGTCGATTGTACTTAGAAAAGGCAGTATAGTTCGCATGCCACAACACTTTTCCAAAAAATATTTTATTATAGACTTTATTTGTATTAATAACACTACTCATTTAAATATTTTCGATCGTTCGTCATTCGAAACCAACTCAACAAGATATGCCAAAACTATACAATGTTTTCTATCGAAAAATATAATTTATGATACGGTTTTCGCGTTAAGCGTTAAGTTCTATGTCTATATTTTTTTTTAATTTTGCCGTTAAAACGTTTTTGAAATATGTGTTTAGCAATGCACCTCAACTTTGTAATAGTTTTGACCTTTCATCTGTTTTAATTGGCGTGTAACCGTTTGTAGACGAATGACGGGTATAACATACTCAACTGTGAGCCAGGTAACTTGATAGGTTTTTACAACCACTGGGACGAATTTAATTCATCTTCTACAGGTTCTTTTTGTCTGACATGACCAGCCATCGGAAATGAAATATAATTGATGTGGTCGTTTGTTTTGGGTAATCAAATGTTCATAGAGAGTAAAAATCATTGACACACGAAGGTTGATCAACCGAAAGCATAAAGGCCTAAGCCTAATTGGGCACAACCTTTTTGAACTCGGATTCAGTCTTTTTCAAATTCTGAATAGTTTCTTACTGGTTTGAGTAAATCTCTAAATTTCCCACATACAATGCAGCTATCTGATATCTTTATTCAAAGATATATATTTCATTGCGGCAAACATTTTGGCAAAAGGAATCTTAATATCCAATCTTTGTTGAAACACACTGATTGCATGGTTTTATCTGTCGGAACATATTCAAAAGTCGTGCATATTAGGATTGTTGTATAATACATTGCTGTAAATTGAGTGTCAATCATAAATACGCAAGTTCAAACGTGTTATAGCTTTACGAGGACTTGATGGACCTATAGTTATAAAAGAGAAAACTGGGAGTGTATTACAGTCATTTCATCATACAGCGGCAATGGAAATTGGTTTTTCTACAGTAGATTGTAATAGCGATAATCCGATAGGTAGGTTATCATTTAGTATTAAGGGCGATCACATGAAAAATAAAAAGCAACAAGTTACCTTTATTCAAATATGAAAAATGGTGTATCAACATGCAGAGTTTTAAGAAACTAGTGTTTATATATGTACATTTGGAACTTATACAGTTATATAGTTGTATGTCCTTTTTTCATATTAGCTATGTTGTTGTTCCTGCAGAAAAAGCTTCAAACAATGTTGATTTTGTCTGCAAATCATTATATTACGGTGTGTGATTTATAAAAAAAGAACTGAATTAACATTCGGGTATTCCCACATATATAATCATTAATTTCGACGAGCCCTTCAACACATCAGAAGATCTACCTTCATTGTACTGCATACTTAAACTTCACAAAACTCCGTTAAACAACGGTACACTGCCGGCTCAACTTCATGTTCTACCAAGATTTAGGATAACCAGCATTTTAAAACAGTGGCAGGGGAATAACAAATTGAAATAATTTTCCCTCTCATTACACCATCATACCATATGAAAAATTGAAAACCCGTCTACAAAAATAATTCACGGTGCTTCTCAAAATAATTGGAACAATACGCAAAACATTTATTGTTTTAGGATACAACTCGGCATATTTGTGTTCGAATTTCAATTGATATTTTATAGTGTGTCTTTCAATGTTGTGATGTTACACTATTGTTTCAGTAAGGGTGAAGGTTTGATACCATTAAAACGTTTAAACCCGCTGCAATTGTTTGCACCTGTCCTAAGTCAGGAATCTGATGTTCAGTAGTTGTCGGTTGTTGATGTGGTTCATAAGTGTTTCTCGTTTCTCGTTTTTTATATAGATTATACCGTTGGTTCTCCCGTTTGAATGGTTTCACACTAGTAATTTTTGGGGCCCTTTATAGCTTGCTGTTCGGTGTTAGCCAAGGCTCCGTGTTGAAGACCGTACTTTGACCTTTAATGGTTTACTTTTATAAATTTTGACTTGGATAGAGAGTTGACTCATTGGCACTCATACCACATCTTCTTATATCTATATACCAAATTGTCCTGCGTAAGGAGTATACATTTGCCAACTCATACGATACTCAAGAGCTTGGAGCTGCTACTCTTACTTTGAAAAACGGCATCGGTATCTGAGCAAACCAGGCAGGACCCGGGGTATTGTCAATGAAAGTGTAGTCTTTTTTTTTCTCATACAGGAAGGTATCAAGATCAATAATTAAATACAAAGTACCAAGATCAATTATTAAATATTTAGTAACTTCATAAATAATACAGGATGATCTAGAGTTATAGATTTCTAGTTGCCGACGTAGTGTTTCATTTAATGTACATTGCAGATTTGGCCGTGTCTCGGTATTTGTTCATTCGGCATTCGGTTTTTGGTTTGTGTCATTCCTGATAGGAATGGGTCTACAGGTGCAAGTCAGACGCAAGCAATTTATTTTTTGTTTTATGTTTTACATTATATTTAGCCTGGTATTTATACTTTACTCAATTTGTACTTTATCGGGAAAGTGTGTATTCGTCATTAAGTTTAAACAGCTACATTTGTTGTTTCCGTCTTAATTAGATAGGTTTGTTTGGATTTTTATATATCAGTTGTGTTGTATGTTTGTTTACACAAATTTGGCTGCTGGGTCCCAATTTTGTCATGTTTACCAGGGTTAACTCACCATTTCTTCGAAAAATGTCTGAAGCAAGTTTAGAAGATGCCAGTTATTTTCCAGTGTTTTCACAGGTTGATATAGTCGAATGTTTGCTTATGTCAGGTGTTATGGTTTTCCCCATTTAGATGTTACCTTGGAGTTCAGTAATTTTATTAATACATTTTTTACGACGAAAATGTTGCTAAGTAACTCAATAATCCAAAATGGTTGTATTGGAACAGTGGCAACCATCAGAGGCCACCATTGGTTGAAAGAGTTGCAAGGCAAGGGTGGCCGTAGCTATATTTGCTCATCTTTTGTGATTCTTTTTTTTTTGCAATGCTCCTGCCAACTTTTTTATTCCAACGTTATTGATGAGTTTTATGTAGAAGTAACTCGCGTCTGGTGTAACACATTGTAAACCTAGTACCTTTGATGAGTTTTTACTTACGCTGGATCGATGCTACTGCTGAATGACGTAGCATCCCTGAGAGTATCATCGGCTTAAAAGTCGGCACTTTGCATGTTGGTATGCAATATCATTAATATGGTGATTTATTTTATACATTTAATGTGACTTTATAAGATTTTGAAACACTCGATTTTGGTTGTTATTATTCATTTTTTACGATGGATTGGTGCTTACATTATAAGAGCTCCAAACATAGCTAAAAGTCTATGTAGGCTACTAATATTCAAAACAAAATGCCCAAAAACAATCTAATTCAAACTAAAATATATCTAGTGTTCAGTTTACACTTTGCAAATTTTATAAGGAAACAGCAAATAACTGATGTTCAAAGCATGAAATTTGAAAAACAAATTCAGAAAAAAAATTCAAGTAAAACATTTAAACTGAGATATTAGCATGAACTCAAAAAGAAGCTAGACTGGAGGCCTCCACAAGTTTGTCGTCTCCTGCTATACATGCATTACCCGCCATGCGCACTCTATTCAGTTGAGCGAGTTTCGAGTTCTCATTTTGGTATCTATGTTTTATCTGTGGAAAAAAAAATGATATAATTGAAGCAGGAAAAAATAAAAATGTTTATGCATTTATATTGTTTGTAAAATAAACCATAACAGGTGACCAAAATCCAGTTTATTATTAACTTGATTAAAGGCAATTTTGTTGGGTATAAATAAAGGCAACAGTAGTATACCGCTGTTCAAACATAATTCGATTAAGCAAAAACAAATCCGGGTAACAAACTAAAACCGAGGAAAACACATCAACTGTAAGAGGAAAACAACGGAACAACAGAACCAACACTAAACTACAACAAAAACAATCGCTAACATACATAGAAACGGACACTAGATAACAACTGCCATATTCCTAACTTTGTACAGGACATTTTAAGAAAAAAAAATGGTGGATTGAACCTGGTTTTATGGCTAGCCAAACCTCCCGCTTATATGGCAATGTTAAAAATACCGATAAAATGACAACACTACGTGACATGAATACAGTACAAACTACGTGCAGATAACTGCTTATACCATCTGGCTTGATAGTAAATCAAATATAATTAGACGTTCAAAAGATCTGTGCAACGAAAAGTGAGGGAAAAAATGATTATTTGAATAGTTAAACTTTAGTGTATGATCAAATGAGCAATTTTCTTGAAGTTCTTTACTTGATCAGAATGTACGTATAATCAGTGCAATATGTTAAAGATAAATTTAATCAGAAGTGCATTCAGTTACGAGAAAGATTACGCATTTCAATGTTTTCTGTAGCGACTGGTATCAAATTAAAGTGACATAAATGAAGACAATTGCGGACATTTGTTATGCTAAAATACCAGCAATTTTGACTTTTTATTTAATATCTGACCTGTATATCTGACAAACACACAAAAAACACATAAGTAATGACTTTTTGCAAAGAGTGGATGATCTACGAGATATATATATCATATCCTAAATAGAAGTGTTGTTTGGTTTCTGGCTTTTCAACTTTTCCTATATGTTTGTGTATATCGTCTTTTACTCATTATTATGTTTTATTTATCAAGAAGTAGTTACATATTTACAATAGCAAATCACATTTTTCTTTTGTTTACTTTTAAAACTGTCTATTCCGGATACAAAAGGAAATCATAATCTGTTCTTTATATATAAATATACAAATGCACAATCCTTTCAAGAAATGTTCAATTGAATATTACAAGATCATCAATGATATAGTGTGTTTTACATCAAATAATTCAGGTTTCTGCAAAAGTCAGACAAATATAAAAGACGGTAAACGTTGCAGTACATCAACCTGTTACCTTCGGCCAGTATTACAAAGATTCAACTTACAAGTCAGTTTGCGGTCTCATGTCACTAAGGTAGATATGTTTTATTATGTTTCATTTTAAAAACTTTAATGACCATGTAAAATTCCAAATTGCCAAATGTTATTAAATAGAAATTTAGAGGTGGGGAGTTATAAAGTAGCAACAAAAGCAATGAAAAGAATATAGGCGTATCACCATTTGCAATTTTTATTTTCTAGTTAGGGTATGGCATAAACAGGTGTACAGGACTGTAATGAGGATAGAATTTTAATCGGTTTGCTTTGTTGACGACTATTTTTTTTTCTCCATATCCATTCGTGCATATAGTTTCCTAGATGATGTTGATGATTGATGGCTGCTTAACGTTCAGCGGGAGAAAATATACATATTCAAGACGAAAACATAATAATGATGTATTAATATTAGCTAAGACCAACACGCTGAGCAGGATTTTAACGTGCTAGATCACAAGGTTACAGTCCACAGAAAGACATCATCATACCCGAAACCAGCGGGGGTTCGAACCTTCAACCTCCAGCACATGAAGCGAACACGCAACCTCGAAACCTCCGAGGCAGCTTAATGTACTGCAGTAGTACAATTTGTTGTATACTAGATGTATCTCTAGTAACTTTTTCATTTGAAAGTGTAGGCTTAAAAAGGCAAGAACTGTTGCATCAAAACATCCTATCATTTCAGCGCTATTCCTAATGCATGTTTTAAACGTTTTTTAACGAAAAAGCATAACCCAATTATTCATACTTATACATTGTAATTTGACTTTGTATAATACCCTTATTACTTTTATAAGTAATACAAAAGTAAGGATATGTGGCATTATTGCAAATGAGACAACTATCAACTAAAATGTAAATGAAGTGAATGTATAAACTTAAATTTGAAAAATAGAACAAATGTTAAAATAAAATGTACCTACTAACAGTAGACAGCTTTCTCACAAACAAAAAAACCCATAGCTGTACAATATAAGGGCATACATCACAATTATGGGGACTTTTTATACAGCATCCACACAGCACGAGCAACAAACCCTCTTATCAACTTAAAAATAATGTGTTGTAATTGCCAACGGGACAACTATATTGAATAAAATGGATCTGCTTGTTGGACAAAATGTGTATGCTCACTTGATATGCATAGTACAAGTAACTGTACGTGGTCAAAACAGGTGATTAACTGACTGAAGGTTTTAACATCCATGAAACGTAAGGATGTACGTGTACATTCAAATCAATGCTCTTATTAGCAATAAATGTTCAAATGTAATTTCGAAACCCATCGTGTAACTTTCCTGATTATCAATAAATGCTTGATTCTGTATATATCTATAATCTATAATATGCAGGTGTTGATAAGGAATAACAAAGCTGTTGGTGTTGAATTTGTAAAAGATGGCAAGAAAAGACTTGTATTTGCAAAACATGAAGTTATTCTTTCAGCTGGAGTCATTGGATCTGCTCAGATTCTAATGCTCTCGGGAGTCGGACCTCGCAGACATCTTCAACAAATGAAGGTAACATAATTAATTATTTTCATGTTCCGTATCAGGTATACACAATGACATATCAATATTACCATTTTGCAAGTTTTATAAACAAGTCGATTTTTTATAATGATTTTGCAATTTTCCAAGCTTGGTAGTTTTTGTGGCTTGAAATTTTTTAGCTGAAAACGATAAACTAAAGTGAATATCTGCTTCTTTATATAACATGTACAAGAGAACTAACTGCATCTATAGAAGAAAAGAAAACTGAATATTTTTTTTCCACATTCACAAGTTCACTCCAAATTAAATTGGATTTAAACAAGTCTTCATTGAGGTAACCGAATGAACTACTTAGGTCGATACCACTGCTGGTGGACTGTTAGTCCCCGAGTTTATCACAAGCCCAGTAGCCGGTACTTTTAATTAGTAGTGGCATGAAAATCTGTATTTTTTGTTATTAAAATTTGCTGTTACAAAATGTTAGATATTATTTTAAATCAAGGAATATATTTTCCTCATACAAAGCTTTTTTTAAAACTTTTTTGGATTATAACTCTTCATCTCTTTACTAAGCTTTAAATTTTCAAATATTTTAGCCTCGACCATCACTGAAGAGACATTTATTGTCAAAATGCGCATCTGATGCAGACAAAAATGGTACCGTTAATGTTGTTATTACCTAGGTTCAGATAAAATTTCACTGTCTAAATGTGTTTTGATTATTTGTTTCGTCTGCGTGCTGTAACATTGACGCATTATATACACCTTTATTTCTTTTTAGCTGATTTGTTTAGATTTTTATGACAAAAGTTTACGCAAAACACGTTTAATGATATTCACTGTTCCGAAATTCTAAAAATGGCCAACAGTGTTTGAGCAATATGAGTCCCGTTTTTATTCAAACAAAAAGTGAAAAGAAATAAAATGTTCTAAAAGTTCGAACTAATCATGAAAAAGGTTGATCGAAAAAGTGCTAAAAAGTACTAATCATACATATATTGACAATAGTATAAATCGATAAAAAATGCAATCAATGTTACAAACAAAACTGATGGAATTAACTTCAAAAAGGAGAAAATAGCAAGCGTCGATATGGGAGTGTCTCCTGCTTTAAATGATGATATGCATTACTACAAGCAAAGAATATGTCAATAACTGAAGTGTGTTGTCTTGCTCAGAATATATCTTACATGTCTATACCATCTTTTATAGATACCATTAACAGTTGATCTACCTGTTGGACAGAATTTGTATGATCACTTAAACTTCATTGTTCAATATAATATTACTGCACCATTAAATATAAACAATAAAAAAGCGGCTGAACCAGATAGAATTTTGGACTATATTGTCAACAGAGAAGGCAAGTAGTGCAAGTAAACATTCAATAAATCATTTCATAATTACGTTTGGTCAAATTGGTTAGATGCCACCTTAAATGTGCTGTACGGTTAGTTTAATATATCACGTCATGCAATTTCTTTTTATTCCAAGTATACGTAAAAGTAAATGAACAGTTAGACAATACACAAGACGATATTTGGAATGCTTATTTTGTTTACATAAGACTTATCGACGGTGCTCAATGCACACAAATTTTACTAAACATGATAAACGATGTATATCATTGAATCCGCAACATTGTTTATCACATGACCGCGCATAGCATAAACAAAGGACAAATCTTAGAAATCAGCAACTTTAAACTTGTTGATATTATTCAATTTGTATTTGCAGGAATTTATTCCAAAAACGGAGCTGAAGGATCAATTCTACAAAATGTCAACCCGCTAGATACAAGAGGTCCACAAATTGAACTTCAGTTGTCTAACGTTGCTTATGAAGAAGGTTTCGTTTTAGACCCAAACCTTGCATTTAAAAATGAGGTATACAATTTTAATTTCAATTTCAATTTAATGTCTTAATAAATACTGTCTTTTTAGGCATTATCTGTGTACACATATACTACGTTTTTCACCCTCTTGTATCAATTCCGAGGAAAAAATAATAACTTAAAGGAGTTGCCATGGGAGTGTTGCCATGGCGTGTTCAGTTGTTCTTCGACTTAATAATTTTGGTGTATCCTCCGTATCTATTGCACCTTGTTTATGAACACTTATCTTAAGTCTGTTAATAGGGATTTCAGTTGCTTGTAACTGTAATAAATGTATGGAAGTTAATAGTTAGAAACAGAATCATTTTGTTAACTGTAAAGTTATACAAATCATGTGGTTCCATAATATATAAAAATCACATCTGGAGCGTATAGGGAAACGAACTAGCATTATTAATTATAAAACAATCCTTCATTTTAGGAATATCTGCCTCTTCTATTATTAAGTGTATATGCTAAATGATAGATCGGTCTTTGTTATCAATGATTATTTCTTAACGATTTACATGTGTATTTCAATCAGGACATGTTTATAACTATGTTGATGTAATCTGAAAGAGAAAACAATGCAAATAACATATACGATATATTTACAGAAAATTAACAATGCTGCTATGAAAATAGTATACCTATTTCAAAATGATGATAAAATAAGGTATTCAAGGGATTCATTGCATTTTTGAGAATGATGTAATGAACTAAATGACTTTGTAGATTATTAAAATCATAATTAATTTATTCAAGCATATTTCAAGAGTTGTCTCATTGGCATTCATATCACATCTTCTTTTTTATATTCATTGCTAACTAAATATCATTTTAAGTCTTTATAACCCATAGGGTAATTGGTATTGTTTTGATCACATTAGGGGTGTCTCAAAAAGGTTGAATAGCAAAAATACCAGCATTTCCTTATGTAGAAAATGGCGGTTTAAACCTAGATTTATGACTAGCTAAACCTCTCTCTTGTATGACAGTCGCATGAAATTCCATTTACTTTACAACAATGTGTGAGCAAAACAAACAGACATAATAGGTATAAAATTACAAATACTGGGGTACAGCAGTCAACATTAGGTTATAATCTTAATCACTAAAAAAAACCACATAACTATGTCATCAAAGAAAAACAAAATGGGATGTAGACACTCTAAAGACACAAGCAACATAGCTTTGTAATGCATATACGACAAATGTATACTACAATACATTTGTTATTGGTGATTGGATCGATTTGTTTGAATTTGATTTTTCTTAACATCATTGCATCAAACATATTTTATTGAGTTTAGAAAGATTTTGGATAGGTACATCTAATTACCAATAACACATATACATAAGGTATCTTTTTAAACAAATGCTGTATATTTTGATACCTAAATTATATATTGCAGATTGTAAAAGAACATTTAAAACGTGTTGATCAAAACAGTTTTGTAGTAGTTATGTTCTTATTACAACCAAGAAGTAAAGGTTATTTGAGGCTATCAAGCAAATCACCGTTCACATATCCTGTAATAAATCCACGATATCTTTCTCACCCAGAGGATATTGAAGACTTTGTTAAAGGTACAATTAACGATATAAAACTAATGATTGATTGTTGTGTTGGTTTTCTTGTATTAATTGTTTTACACTAGTCTTTTGGGGGCCCTTCATAGCTTGTTGTTCGGTGTGTGCCAAATTCCGTGTTGAAGGCCGTACTTTGACCTATAATTGATTTCTTTTTACACATTGTGACTTGGAGTTGTCTCATTGGCACTCATACCTAATCTTCTTATTTCTATTGGGTCCAAGTAATTTCTATTTTCTTTTCGAAACCCACTTAACATTTTATATTTTACATGTACATGTATATTTATGAAATATCTACTAATAATATTATATAAATAAATCAGAGACATTATCTTTGTAATAAATATAAAGTTCTATCAATCTGTTCAGAAGGTAAAGAGATACATAATTAGATTTAGTTTTATTTTGAATTTAACACATTTTAAATTATTAGTCGTAAGACAGAAATATTGGGTATCCGATCTGTCTTTTTTCCCCTAGAAACTGAAACTGATATATCATAATTATTTGATTTAAAATTTTGTGAATATAATTTCAGGCATTCGATTGATGCGTTCGTTAGAACAAACTGAAGCATGGAAATCTATCGGTGCCACTTTGGTTAGACAAGATGTACCTGGACATTGTAGTGAAGAAATCTATGATTCTGATAATTACTGGAGATGTATTGGACGACATTTCCTAAGAAGTGCATATCACTTTATTGGCACATGTAGGATGGGATCAGTTGATGACCCGTCGGTTGTAGTAGATTCAAGATTAAGGTATGAAGATAATATATGAGGGATTTAATTTCACAAAAAAAATGTTTGATCTCAAAGATTGTTACGACTGTCTTTTTAATATTGCTGTTCATAACATTTTGGTATTTTAAAAACAAAACTTCAAACACTACACGAAAATTGTCTCATTTTATGATATTGTCATATACATAGATAAATGTCATATAGAAAGATGTTTAGGTTTGTATCCTATCTTTCTGCTTAACGCATTTGTTCATATGAAATTGTATTAAAAAAAATGACGTGAAATCTTACGTTAATATGACAATATAATAAAACATAATAACACAAACAACATTATAACTACTATTTATGTTCCTTAATGTTCAGATTAAATCATTCTATTTATAAAGGTTTGGAGATTTCACTATTTTAAGAATTGCAAGAGGATAACAATAGTTCATATACTACCTTCTTCTTCAAATTCTTCGTGTTTTAAGAATTTAAATATACAAATATCATTAAAATAAAGCATACGATGTATACAATATTCGTATAACTCATTGCTTTCGTTATGTTGTCAATCCATTCATATGTTTACAATTTATCATACTCTTGCTTTATAGGGTTATTGGTATTGATAAACTAAGAGTGGTCGATGCATCCGTTATGAGATATATTCCTTCGGGTCATACAAACGCACCAGCCATGATGATTGGAGAGAAAGCTGCAGACATGATCAAACGTGATAAACTCTTAGATATACATCTAAACCTGTGATGACTCAATGAACCATTTCATCGATTGTTTCCTGGAAGTCGGTTGCTGACTTGATAAAAAGATGCTTTAATAAAAAAAGAATTAAGGATATAGTTAGCTGAAATTAAATAAAAATCTAGAATTTAAAATTGATACTATATTTAGAAGAGCATTACTTAAGGAACAAAATAAGCTAAAAATATTGATAGGTTATGGAATTCCTTTTTGTGATATTTGATGTTTTAAAATGGCGGAAAAAGGCTGACTCGAACTTTTACCTTATATTCAGCATTTACATATTGGGTCTCAAATTGTAAGAAAAAAAAACTCTATAATCTGCTTAAATTTTTGTTATGACCTTTTTATGACATATTGAAGACTTCTATTAAAAGAAAAGTGGGTGATATGAGGCAAAATATTTTACTCTGTATCGTAGGAAAAAATATGTGAAGGTGATTCTAGGCTTACAATAAACTTATAAAATTGTATAACTTCTCTTGATAGCGGACTGAAATCTTCACTTTTTTATCACATGTATAGATGTTCATGTAAAGAATATTTGTATTGTTGTCGGGTTTTTTTACTTTATCATTTTGAAAAAGAGGGAATCATCAACATATTTTTTCAATAGCAGTTTTGATGTTTCTCAGAAAAACGTTAGAAAATATTGCATAAATAAAGTGTTTTTTTCTTTTTTTTTCTTTTTTTTCAGTTTTTGCTTTTGGTATTAGATACGTTATACTTTATTCTTTATTCAGTCTCCGTTCAAAGCTTTTTGGGAATTGTGCTTGTAAGATCACAGTGTCTGCATCACACAGTTGTCAAGTCGCTTCCAGTACATCCATTATATTCTGGCCAGATATAGTGCTGACGCTGATTCAGAATTGGAGCAGAATACTCAAATAAAGTTATAATTAACTAAAGCTTGCCTATGAACCCCTACACACATGTTGCTATCTCCCTATTTAAAGACATCATCACAATATAAAAATAAGAAGTGGTATGTTATATCATGCTTTTTCCATTCCATAATTTTTGAAAGAGGAATTTCAAAGTCATATTGAAGGTCCTTTATTTGCTATGTAGGAGGTAGCTGTGTAAGGGCATTCCTCATTTCAACTTGTATACCTTCTAGCAAACTGCATCTATCACATGTGATGTAATAAGTGTGAGTACAAGTAGCCTTAAAATCACCAGATCTGTCAGATTTATCTGATAATGCCCATTCCAGGCAGTGATATGCACATCTACTTGTAATTTCAAGGTGCAGCTTATTGTCGGTTTTTAAATACAGTTTGTAACTCTTAACGTTTAGCGAAACTGACTTGGACCAAGAAGAAAGAAGTCCCATCTGTTCAAGTTCCGATATGACATAAATACATGTGTCAAAACCAACCCCCATATATTCAATTTTTGTTGAAATTCAAAAAAAAAAAAAAGTTTAATTTTTAACCCCGATTTGGACCAGCTTAAAAACTGGGCCCAAAACCAAAACTAACCTAACATGTTTAGATTCGTCATATCAAAGAACTTCAATAATCATTTTTGATAAAATGAAACAAAGCTTAATTTGGACCCTTTGGACCAGTTTGATAACTGGTCCCAAAATCAAAATTATAAATGCACTGTTAGATTCGGCATACCAAAGAACACTAAGAATTCAATTTTTGTTAAAATCAAACAAATTTTGGACACTTTGGACATCAATGAGGACGAAATTAAAAAAGGGACCCTTATTCCAAAACCTAAAGACACGGTAAGATCCAGCATATTAAAGAACCCCAAGAAATATTTGTTTGTTAAAATCAAACTACATTTATTTTTTGCCTTTTTGGACCTTAATTTGGACCAATTTGAAAAACCGGGCATACATTCAAAAATATAAATACACAGTTAGATTCAGCATATCAAAGAAATCCAATAATTCAATTTCTGTTGAGTCAAACAAAGTTTAACTTTGGACCCTTTTGACCTCAATGTGGACCAATTTAAAAACGGGGCCCAAAATCCAAAATCTGAATACATGTTTAGATTCAGCATATTTCAGAAACCCAAGTATAGCAGACTTTGAATCAAACCCCCATTGCAATTGGTAAACAAATAATCAATTGAAACAAAACATTAGAAAAATATAGTTTTTTATCCCTTTTTTCCTGAATAGTTAAGGCCATAACCCCCAAAAATCAATCCCAACCTTCCCTTTTTGGTGTGGAGCCTTGTGGTAACATTTCAAAGAGATCCATAGACGTATACTCAAGTTATTGTCCGGAAACCAGAACATCCTTGTATTTTGCTCATTAATTCTTATATGGTTTGGGTCATAACCTCAAAAATCAATTCCGACCTTCCTGGATTCTTGTAGTACAATTTCATAGATATCCATACACTTATACTCAAGTTATTGTCCTGAAACAAGAAAAAAGGATTGTTTTGTGGTCCCTTTTTTACCCTTAATTCCTAAACAGGTAGGACAATAACGCCCAAAATGAATCCAAACTTCGTTTTGTGGTATGGAACCTTGTGGTACAGTTTCATAGAGATCCATACACTTACACTGAAGTTAATGTCTAGAAACCAAATATATTTGTACGAGGACAACGCCCTACCATTATAAAACTGTGAAAATTTCGTATAAAAAATTACATACAAACAAATCACCGATGACCTCCATGACGTCATCAGCCTACAAATGGGCTGACAGATTGTGAAAGATTATTAATAGTACTGCTATCCTCTCTGATGTGAGACTTACAAGATTCTGTCAAACTTTTCAGAATATCTTATCAAATGGTTAAGTTTTAGCTGATACAATGGTTTGATATGGGACTAACAGCAAACGAATGGACAGACAAACAGACAAATGCCCCAATCGCTATACGCAGGGGTTATATATGCATTGCTTACATCTATATCGGCATTCATAACTGGCAAATGTACTTATGTTCTAAAATAGTATGGCCTGGTCAATGTCTTGTAAAAAAAAAAAAAACTGCTTACTCTTCCACGAGTCAATCCCATCAAACTGACTTAAGCAGAAAAAGTAACATTGCAAATTATTAATTGATAGTCGCTGGACCATGACCAAGGGGGCAGGGCCTCGAAATAGTTGTCAAACTGATATATACTAATACATATAGTAAAGCAACTTTACTTTAGTAGCAGGCGAGACTAAAAACATAGATTCGGTGAAAACTCGTTTGGACGATACCCCCCGCTGCTCTGTCATATGCATGAGTATAGTTCCACATACTTTGTACTATTTCAAATTGTTGCGATGTCTGTGAGACACAAATGACCTTTAGTACAAAATAATCATCAAGTCCAAATACCTGGCGTTTTAAGAATATTTGAAAAAATATAAATCCTGTAGACATGCACACTTCCATTATGGGTACAAATAACCTACAAAATATTAAAGCTGTAGCTCAAAAACTGTAGGAGAAGATAGCCGGACAAACCATTTTCTTATTATGCAGCTAATACCAAAAAATGACTTAGTCCAAAATCCTATGGACATGCACACCTCTATTATGTGTCAAAATATCCTACAAAATATTAAAGCTGTAGCTTAAAAACTGTAGGAGGAGTAAGCCGGACAAATCATGTATCTAATCATTAAGTACAAATACCTGGCATTTTAAGAATATTTGAAAAAAATATAAATCCTGTGGACATGCACACTTCCATTATGGGTACAAATAACCTACAATATATTAAAGCTGTAGCTCAAAAACTGTAGGAGGAGATAGCCGGACAAACCATGATCTCTTTATTCAGCTAGTACCCAAAATGACTTAGTCCAAATACCTTGCATTTTGAGAATTTTTGAAAAAAAAATCAAAATCCTGTGGACATGCACACTTCTATTATGTGTAGAAATATTCTACAAAATATTAAAGCTGTAGCTTAAAAAACAGTAGGAGGAGAGAGCCGGACAAACCATGGTGTATTTTAAAATTTTATTTTGCAAGATAACTATTGAAAATATTAATAAATAAGATTAACTTGTTTTATTGTAAACAAAAACACAACATTTTTTTCTATTTATAACAAATAAAAATTCAAATGGAACTCATTTCAGTCTATTTGCAAATTTTCTTTTCGTACTCTGCGGCGCATCCGCCATGATTTGTTTGTGTGACGTCACAGATTTTTAGTATTGACCGTCAATATACGTATAAATAGAATCATAGCGTCAATATACTTAAAAATAGAAACAAGGCTTCAGATACATGAAATATAATTTGTAACACGTGACCGTAAAATCCAATGAAAACAGGAGAATGCTAAACCATATGTAATATTATCGAATTTATTCCGCAACGTTAACAGATTCAAAATTTCCGCTGCTTTCGTGAATACGAAAATTGCAATTCCTCAAAGTTTAGAGATACGGATGCTTTGTGAATAAGGTTCCTATATGTGTTTATATCTTTGTTCTATGGTATGTACGGATATTCGTCTCATTGGCAATCATACCACACCTCATTTTATATAGTGAACATACAACAGTATACACACATCAGTACATGTGTATTCATTTGTCTCGATCTCTTCGTTGTAGAAGGCAAACATTGTTTTGAAATGATTCTGATTTGTCGTAGGGGTTTATCTTTACAGTCACGCGTTTTTTTGTTTCGTGTCCAATTGAAATGCAGACTATTTCTGTAGCAGTAACCTTTAACGGCAAATACGTATGAATATAAGAGCATTGTGTTATATGTTATGACAAAGCTCGAAAAAGTTTCTTCAATAATGGAAAATTCGCCATTTTAAAAGATTCTGTGGCATTCTGTGTATTGTTTCAAAAGCCTAAACCAATACGAGAGGGTCTGAATGGGGAGGAGGGGGGTCCTTGAATTCTGTATTCTTTAATTTTTAATCCATTTTTCTGTATTCTTTATAAATCTTGCCCTTTATTCTCTATTCTTTATATTTTAGCATCCCATTTTGATCTATTCTTTTTTTTTTTTGCCTGTTTTTCCCAATTCTTTATATTTTTTGCCATTTATTCTGCACTTTTTGCCCATTATTCTCTATTCTGTACACACCATCCAGACCCTCATCCGTTGTGTTGACTAACAACATTAAAACCAATGGTAAATTAACAAATGATGTGACTTCATTTCCCTTTGGGTGAACTGCCAATACAATTACCCATAGGGTGTGGATGGGGGTTTACAGAATAGAAAACAATGGGCAAAAAATATAAAGAATAGAGACAAATGGGCAAAAAATATTAAGAATGGAGAATAATTAGGTGCTAAAATATAAAGCATAGAGAATAATGGACAAAGAGTAAAAGAATAGAGAAACATGGCCTAAATTATTAAAGAATACAGAAACGAATGACCCCCATCCAGACCCTCATTCGACTTTTTTGTTCGCCTTGTAAAAGTAGTTGAACAGGTTATGTCCATTGTTATGCATTGTACCTGTGCATCATTAACCTCACGTGAAACAGTGAAATTTCAAATGAAGTGACCACTGTCCAGTATAAAATCATGTGAGCTCTTTAAAGCCTGTTAGAACGGTTGCACGCCTCTCTGTATATATGCTCTTGGTTTTTTATTTCCTGTATAATGCCATTCCAAAAACATTAAAATTCGAAATTGTTTACCTTTTCCAGTAGTGGTCGCATCAATGCGAGGGTTTCTTATCGTCGAGTTGCAAGTTGCGAGTTGAAAAGGCCGA